TGAAGCAAATGTTGCTGCTCAATGAATAAAATAAAGAAATGCTTATAACAAAATACATGTATGAAGCAAATGTTGCTACATGTCCTAGATATTCTAAACTCAATGAATAAGTTAAAGAAAATGCTTGTAAATACATGTACATGTATAACAATAACGATCTTCAGACCAACAGAAACCCCGTGTATCGCTATCGCTATACGGGAGTTAAACATGAGAATTACATGTTGTTAGTGCACAACACAAATAAGCCATATATGGAAAAATAAACCAAAAAGAATTACACGAAAAAAATATAAAAAGAATTTAAGTTTTTTAATTTTTGCAAGTACATGTATTTTTCTCTCGTTTCTATCAAAATAAAGGATTTATAAAAAACTTTGATGATTTATCATTGACAGCACTTTTTATTAAACCTTTTTTCTGAACTTGACACTTTATCTTTAAATGGCACTCATTGCTTTTGAACCCGTTACACGACCATATAAATGTACAACTTGCGGCCATAAATTTTATCGGTTAGAACATAAAAAACGACACATACGAACTCATCTGATAGAAAAACCGTATAAATGCAATCTTTCTGGATGCGAAAGTAAATTTGCCCGAGCTGACGAACTCAGAAGACATCAAAGGACTCATCAACGTATTCATCAAATCTCATAAGAACCAGTTGGTTATTAGGGGAAAAATATTTATTTTAATTATGACTAAGTACAAATACTATGCTTTTATATTATATATTATGTATAATATATTTCTATTTAAATCGGTTGTTAGTTAAATACAGTAGTTAATATCAAAAATATTCAAGTTTATGGATGTATACAGAATTAACTTCTAAAATTTAATCTTTGCGGCATTCTTTATATTCGCTTTGTGAGAAGATTTTTCATTACGTTATCCATGTATAGACGGGTTGAAATATTGTCGGAGCAAATTTTTCCTTGAACTGTACTGTTACAAAAAAATTAAATTGCATATGAGATCTTCTGTAACGCGAGTTTCAAAGAAGATTCGAATATGCATGAATATATTTTGTGACCAACATACAATTACGTATTTTATAATATAAAAAGAAAATTAATTAATAATGTCATATACGATGAATTATCTGTACTTCAATGAAAGTTTCCAAATTAAACTAGCAAACAACCAATAAAAAAATACAGTGTTCCCTCTATAGTCACACTCTCGGGACCCGGTAATTATGTGACTATAACGAAGTGTGCCTATATACATGTAGAATGTTTTTATTAATGGTCACAGATTTAGTGGCTAGGAACAGTATGACTTTAGAGGGTGAGTGATTGCATAATAGTTATATTCAAATCACTTAAACTGGTCTCATGCGATAAAGGTGCAAAAATTTTGGTCAAAAATATTATTTTTGTTGTTTTCTTTTATTCTTATTGTCAGACTTAGATAAAAATCTTCACAGATGTGAACATAAATTTTACAATTAAATAAAATTGGCATTTTTTTAATTACGTGATCGCCAAAAGGAATATTATAGTAACGATAACGGTAATTACGTACTGTAGTAGTTTATTTAAATACGTAAGACATGTAAATTGTTCATAGATGACGCAATTTGATAACATGTAATACATGTACATGTATTACATTACCAATAATGATCATGATAACGTTAACAAATATCACGTCACAGCAAGTTCAAACAAAGTTTGATAACAATATCTCACAAATAATAAAAGCGTAAACGATAATAACAAGCAGTTCTATTATATTACACAGTATCACAGTGACAGGTTTTGAATGTGTTTAATGCATTTTGGTATTTATAGTGAATTACTTATCGTGAAAAAACTAAGGTACAAGTTTGGACTTTGTTAGTTACAAAAGAAAAAATCGGTTGACATTACTATCGTGTAGAAACAAGACATTTGATTATTACCGCTCTATGCACCGTCGTATTTTCATATAAAGAAATATATTGACGTAATATACATACATAAGGATAGAAGTCGATTCTCGATTAATAATTTCAAGGAAATTTTATTAATCAACTTCAAGCTCGAATGTCGGTTTATCCCCTATTCATAATTATCACAAAGAATACACTCATTACTTCAACAGGTCTCTTAAGAGAATGTATTTTCTCTTATGTAAAACGCCAGGTTCGTAGCTGATTTCAGAACTGGCAATTCATCCATCCTTATAAATAAAACCAATTAACTGGTCAGAGTTGACAACTCATATATTATGTAATGGCAACCCTGTTCGGTTAAGCTTTTGATAGCTTGACATATAAAATAGAGCGTGAAGACAAAATTTTACTGCAGTAATTCTGTAACCAATTAGTTCTTGTCGTTCCTCATCATTCATGCAAGTACTGTATTAACGTTAATCTTTTACGTAATAGTAATTACCTAAGCTGCGGGATAGAAATTCGGTTTGTAGTAGGCAACATGCATAAGGATATCAATTTATTCTAGCTAAGATAAATATTTGGGTATATTTCATTTTATAAAAGTCCTTTTTCTATATTGTAGAACTTTCTTTTGAATAAACATTTCCATGAATTTCATTAGGCATAATACACAAGATACTCAAAAGTTTTCTGGACACTTTTAAAATGCAAATATTTTCTTAATCTTGTGAATATCATACAATGAAATAATATTTTTGAATTCTTCGAGTTTCACACATTCAAATAAGCTCAAAAGCTTGGCAATATGCACAATAGCTCACGAGATATTCCGATTTTAGAAGACACTTGCCAAAAAACCATGCTATCACTTAATGATTTCAAGTACCCGGAGACTTTTGATTATCGAGTGTATATAGTATAGCCAACATACACCTTCTTTTAGTTATTAACACATGACTGCTAAATTCATTATGATCTGTTTGTTGGTTAGGCTTTATTAACAAGAGTATCTGCTATTTGCTGCTCAAAAGCCCAAAGGTCCAAAGTGAAAAATTTTTCATGCTATTAAAAATTTATATATCATTGTAAGTATTTATTAAACTTTGTTTAACTTAAAATTATTAATAAAATTATAATAAAATATTGAAATATAAATTTGGTATGACTTTGAGATTTTAGTTTGGGATTTTGGCTTTTATAATAATCTGGGATTTGGACAGCAAGTATTCTTGTGAGTGTATGATCGTGTCTTTATTATTTGTTTTCTGGAATTGTCTGTGGTAGTTTAACCAAATAAAGTGATTGTGGTAGCAATATTTTGTGTCTGAGATTTTCTTTTAGAACTTTATTTTCAAACTCTCAAAAAAACTTACTAGCATTAAAAAGTTTTTCTGTATATTTTCTGCAGCGATTTCATTCAATTTTTAACGTCGTTTTTTTTGTTGTACCGTAATAAAGTTGGGTTAATATACATAATTTCGATTGGTATTTAACTACATTATTGCCATTTAAAGCTCAAATTGAAACCAAGTACAAGTACATATACAGTCAAACCTCGATATAACGAACCTTTTGAGCTGGAAAATTTCTCGTTATATCGAGTTCCTGATAAAAATTCGTTATATAGAGGTAATTTTAAAACAAAAAAATCTTTTTTCTTTCGTTATATCAAGGATTTCGTTATATCCAGGTTTCGTTATATCGAGGTTTGACTGTATACGTAATTCGCGCTGTTGCGTCTAGGGATAGGAATCGATTCTGAGAATCGATTAATTTTGTAGAATTAAAATTTTAAAATCGATTTTGAGAATCGATTTTTAAGACAAAATCGATCATTAACGATAACGATAATGCGTAAATCGTGTAAAATTATGACGTATATATCTTTACGAATTCAACTAATCAAATTGATTCTTAAATTGAAAATCGATTAATCGAGTTTAGAATCGATTCTGGTTAAGCATCGATTCCTTTCCCCACAGTTGAAGTTCGATAAATCGAAGCCTCGGGTTATTCAAAAATAAACTTCGCTTAACATTATAAAGTACCATTTCTATTATTCTTCGTTATATAAAACACTTGGTTAATAGGTTAATTCCTGAAAATTCTTCGTTTAACGCGAGTTCGCTTTATCGAGGGTTCGCTTTATAGAACTTTAACTGTAGTTGGATCGATACAGTTAAAGTTTGATAAAGCGAACCCTCGATAAAGTGAACTCGCGTTAAAACGAAGAATTTTCAGGAACTAATCTATTAACAAAGAGCTTGATATAACGAAGAATAATAGAAATAGTACTTTATAACGTTAAGCGAAGTTTATTTTTGAATAACCCGAGGCCTTCGGTTTATCGAACTTAACTGTATTGATACGTATGTATTCACGTTCGGTATTCCCTTTTTAGATTACTGATCAAACACGTGAATTACCTTTTAGAAATTCCTATGATAGAACTTCACATTCTTTTCGAACACGAATTTTAAAAATATAAAAGGTATAGGTGTCACCAACTATATGACTATTGAAAAAGTATCTTGCCGAAATTCATGCTGATATGCACAATATAAGACGCGTATATGGTGCAAACAATTATATGCAAAAAGAACTAAAATGCTCAAAGTTCAACTTTATAATATTAGTTTGAGATAAGATGAATAAATAAATAATTCGTTTCTTTGATGTGGTTTCTCACCTATGGGATGATTCCTCCCCCGTGTAGCTTTCGCGAGAATGTCGGTCCGGCATAGTGAACATTCGACTTCTTAGAGATTTTCTGTTTCTGTTTCTTTTAACATATAGATATATAACGATAACGATAATACATTTAATTTGTTAAATTTTCGATTAGTTCACACAAATAATTTATTAAGCAAAAATTACAATTTTCTAGGTCACACTTCGCGAAACGCAGAATATGGATTATATGTACATGTAAATTGTGATTGCTGGGATTCATTAAAGTGAAAAATAAATGCAAAGGATTCTCAATAAAATTATTGAACATTATTCAAATTAAAAGCAGATACCGACGACTCTTTGTATATTAAAGGCCAACCAACTGGGTCAGTGACAAACTAAATCCTCGAATTATTATAAAAATGACGATAGTCAAAAATAAGAGTGCTAAAAGAATTGACTACACATTAGGCGAAACAAGTTTTCTTGCAATAATATGACGAGCCGGAATAGTAGCCTTCATATTTCGAGCTTCGTATCTGGCAAGCGCTACAAGACTATCGTAATCATCTTCACTAATTTTCATGTAAGGACAAAGGTATGGCTTAATCGCAATATACCCTTGTTCCATATCTTGAAAAGACTAAATATTATAAGTATCATAAATTAATTAAAGAGTATAAATTATGAATAAAAACAACAATGATGATATAAAGATTACCATGTCGCCTGAAGTTTCTGCACATTTTCCTATTGGTAGTGATTGAGCTTCATTGCTTACAATCTCAACTTTTTCGGAATCTAATAAGATCTTTTCGATTTGATCTGTCATTAATCCGATGCCTCGTGCATCAAGCATTGCGAGGACTGAAAATCTTGGTTAATATTTTTGGTTGATTTTGATAAATTAATTAGAAATAAGAACTCACATGAATTATTCAAATATGATGTCTGTTTTCCAGCATCCTTGGTCATAACATCCAATTCAATTATCTCAATATACCCACCAGGTCTAGTAACACGAATAATCTCACCTACCAAAAGCTTCCATTCTTCATTATTCAAATAGGCGACCCAGAATCGCGAATGCACGTATGAAAAAGTGTCTTTAGGAAAAGTTATGCCGTCTAAAAGATTAGCGTGACTAAAAATTGCATTAGGCGGTAGTGTACAATCTTGTAACGGTTGTTTGTCGATTCCTGTGAATAGAGATCGTGGATAATGATTAGCCATATCGGTAAGCCACGTTCCGTGCATCCCACATCCTACGTCTAAGGCGAGCGCCCCTTCTTTCAATGTTTCATGAATGGGCGCGTAAACAGTGTTAAAGGTCGATTCGTCTTGTATCGTTTTCTTTTTGCTCTTCGAACATGTTCTTTTCATCTCGAGTTTTGCTATAAGCTGTTGCGGATTGAAGAAACTCTCTGTTATCGGTGTCGATGATGAACTCGTTTGAGACATTGGATTATTTTTTGATTTTTGATCATCCTTGAAATATTTACTACTATAAATTTTTGAAACCGCTATTCCCATTTTTAGAGACTATTTATAAAATTAAACTCTTTTACTTAGTATTAGGAAATAGAATATGTGGCGGTTTTTCTAAGAAAACAATACCCTATCGACAAAGAGAATGAGCTTGATCATTTATAGGAAATCGCCCAGTTGTACATACGTATTCCCCTGCATGCATATCAACAATAGTTTTATTTCAACTATATATTAAAATACAAAAGGATAGACGCTATGATATAGTGCGCAAGCAACAACACTCGTGGTTGCAAAGAATTAGAGTTTGATTTTCTGCATTTAATTAATGCATGTGTTTGTGTATCATATCCACTGTATGTAATACCTCTAACGTTTAATAAAAGACGAGGACAGAACATGAAGATTTTCTTATTTCGGAATAAAAAAACAAACTTTATTTTATGTAAAATTAAGAGTAAGAAAACGGACCTGACAAAAAATCCCTTTGAACCAATTATCGTTATCTGCATTCAGAGTTTAACAAATAATTATGGCACACATGTAATTTAAAGAAGCTTCATTGTTTATCTATGGCAAAAAAAACGCGAGAAGGATATTACATGTACGTACGTACTACTGAACTATCATTGGACATGCTTTTTTGTTTTTGAATGTTATTGTTAGCCACTATCGTCGTCCAATCGAATACTGTAACAAATTTGGGTATACATAATGATTACGTGATTTGTATGTACGAAATTATTGAATTTTCAATTGGCAGCTTTTAATGTTTGAATAATTTTGTAAAGCTTTCTTTTCTTAATATTTCTATTTGAGACATAACAAATTAATAAATTTCTGTTTTGATTTACAAGAACAAACCAAGTCTAAATTTAGGAATTCAGTTATTCGAGAAAAACCCTTTGGTGATATCCAAAATTGGTGGAAAAACTTAGATTTATACGAATAATTCAAAGTAGATACCAAAATCGGGAATTAAAACCTGGATAAACCGAATTTGGATCCAAGAACAGTTATATATAGTAAACCCTGCCTCGATAAACCAAATTTTTTAAATTTACTACATATGGGGGTTGACTGTGTGACTACGTATGTGGAGTTTGACTGCATTATACGTGTACGTATTTAATTTAATAACACATTTAGTATTTTACTTAACATAAAATGCTTTAATTTAGCTTCAATACAAAACGACTAGTTTAAATCGGATGTAAGTTTGCTGCTGTAATTTTATATTTAGTCCAGTCATTTTTTGGCATACTGTGTTATAATTAGTTGTTATATTAATGTTTTTTAGTTGCGAAAGTACCGGGTTTTTTGAGAAAATTGAATCTATTTAGAAACAGTGACACTAAACAAAAATACGTGAGATCGTGTATAAATACAAGAAGTTCATTAATGTTTTACTTGATCGAAGTAATTTCTTCTTTCTCTCTTGCCATATTATGGATATTCATGCAAATACAGTGATTTGACATATGAAAGCAGGAAGTTTTTCATTTAAAAATAGTTACTGTATTCCCAAATTTTATAATGAAGCTGTAGGGTTGGATTGGATTAGTCTGGATCGGTTCACGAGGGTTATGGTAGAATTCCCCCCCCCCCCGACAACCGATTCTCCGACTCCCCATTTCTCTGACACCATTTTACCGACATGATATCTTACCGACATGATATTATTTACAATAATTTTTGATTTAGTTATTATATAGAAATACATTTAATATTCTCTTAACATTGATTTTCTATCAACATTATTTACTTTTGTATTGCATAATTTATATTATCCTAATTTGTTTTATTTTTGTATAATAAATTGTATCATAACAGAATATTAAAATTGCATTGAAATAAAAAGTTGAAATTGCATCGAAATGGGGAATTAAATTCTATCAAAATATAAATTAAATTATCAAAATGAAAAATTTAATAATATCAAAATAAAAAAATTTATTATGAGCAATTCCTCTTAAACAATCAATAAGAGAAAGATTATTAAAAACTGATAAAATACGTTTTTCACGATCAATATAGTATTTACGTTGAGATGGTCGAGATTCTCCGTAAATACGTAATACGCTCTATTTGTGTATCTGTTGCTGTTCTTTGCGCATTTCTTCAATAATTGTATAAACACCAACATGTGCTTTTCCAATTAAAACATTCCACTGATGATGCCATCCTTCAACTATATTTTGTGTCCTAGGATAGCAGATTCAACAAGTTCATATGCAGACCAGAATACTGGTGGAATAATGGTGAAGCATGAAATACAAATCCATTTCTAAGCTGCCATCTAACTCTTCCATGAACATAATTATCCTCAAAATATTGAAGCATTTAAAGGTAATAAAGACTTGATTTGATCAAAAACAGCTGGAATTTCAGAAGAGGGCAGAAAGGTAAGAGCTGTAATATAACGTAACGGTCACTTATCATTATACTGAAATCTTCATTATTTCTATATTCGGTGCTTATTCTTGCAGATATCATGTCGGTGAAGTATCACGTCGGCGAAATCTCATGTCAGTAAAATGGTGTCGGAGAAATGGGGAGTCAGTGAATCAGTTGTCGGGGAATCTGGTGTAAACGTATCGGTATATATACATCTGTAAAATCCCGAATCTCGCACAATTCAAAATAAATTGTAAAATAATTTCACTCTTATAGATTGACTCATTTTCCAGAGCTTTGATTAAGAAGTCATTTCATGGAAGGTTGGCTTTAATTCGATTAATGCTAATAAAGTTTTAACAACAATTAGTGCATTTAAAGGAGTGTTTTATAATATTCAGATAATCAAAGTGCAAAGATGGAAATTCAAGAAAATGAGATAATCATAGTTCTTGATATTTATATTTATTATATATGAAAAGTAAATATAAATCAATGAGATACAACGTATTAAATTTCAGTGTTCGCAATTGGACCAATTGAATATATGTCCAATTCCAATTTAAACCAATTAAACATATAAAGTTGCCAACACTGGTAACGTAAAAAATAGAAATTATTTATAGAATGCGAAAAAAAATACTCGAAGCTATTATAATTCTTCCGTTTCCTCACGACGAGATAGTTCTTCATGCTGCTTTTGCAACATGTAAATATTAGTATACGAGCGAGCTTTTAGTTTCTGAGAGCCACCGTTGCGTTTAGATGCATCCTTTCCTTCATGAGCAAGATCTTCATTGATTGTATCCAATATCATCGACCGACGCTTTATGGCAGAATTTTCCTGATGAAGTATTTTTTTCTGAATGAAATTGCTAGGTAAATTGAATTCATTATTCTCTTCCGATGGATATTTATTAAAATCACTAGAGATGTAAACTAAATGCGGTCGTTCGTTTAAATGCTTCCTACTTTTTGATGAGAGACCAGATTTGATACGTATTGTACCATATATTGAAGATGATTGTGACGAAGGCAGGAAAACTGACGGGTATACTTCAGTAGCAAATACTTTATCGTTTCTGTTTTCATCGCTGTTGCTAGTCTTTCTATTCCAGTAATTGTCGAAGGATTTGATGGAGCAATTGATGTTTGAGTAGTCGAAGAAAGAAGTTACTTTTGAGAATGAAAACATTTTTATCTTCTTTAAAGTGCTAATATTCTTGAATTAATGCTAGAAATAATTATATGCGCAATATTATTTGAATGATCATGAATGAAATTAATATTTATTTCAATTTTCATAAGCGGTCAGTCTTTATATACCGATACTTGTATCAAAAATATATTGATTATACAATGATTTGTATTGAATATACGAAATAAATTAATCAATAGTACCGTACGTATATCATGGCCACAGTACCCCCAGTATATCGATATTGCAAATTCTGGTCAAAGCCTATTAATAATGTATTATTAAAAAAGGGTGGGAGTACTATACATGGGGGGGGGGGTACCGTGATATATAGTATTAAATTATTTATTTACATATATTTTGTTTGTTTGTTTGTTTTCAGAGTAATCAAATTAGATTGAAAGCTATAAATATAAAGCCTATCGTTATCGTTATCGTTATATTTTATTATTATCGTTATAGCTTTTCAATCATATGAATTTTTATTTCACACAAATTTCAATCAAGCTATTGAGAAAATTGATGCTGATATTCTTATGCGAATATTTATTTGTTATAAATACGTAATGTGTAACAAGAAAAATTAAAACAAAATGTACATGTATTATATTTTATAAATAACAATTCGTATTATACTTTTGAATCATAAGGTGAAAGGGGGTATTTTGACGAATGGGGGAATTGTGGTGGACCAAAAAAAACACGCTTAAAACACAAATAATAAATAATAATATTGTCAATATATGCTTACGACTTAAATTTTTAAAAAAAAATATTGGTAATTTTTTTTATAATATTAAAAACATAATCCTTTTCATCATATGTTTTGTGATTTTTTTTATGAAGTTAATTTTTTTGTTTTATAGTAACGAGTTGCTATTACACTTGATGTTATTTATGTATTCTGTTTCTGTTATTGCAAAAAAATCTTGTGGTTATTACAAACTTTTTATTGAAAAAGGATCAATCATATATATTCAAAATTTTTTATTTTTTTAATTCATTTTATTAAAAGATAATTCATTAATATTATATTTTAATTTTAACTATATTTTATTAATAAAATTACATATATAATTTTATTAGTTATTTTATATAAAATTAAAACTTTTAATTTTTACTATAGTTTATTAATAAAATTGTATATATAATTTCATAAGTCTGCTAGCTACTATATATTAAAATATAATTTATAATTTTTATTTAATATAAAAATAAAAAATATTTATTAATAAATTGAAAACTATTATATAAAACAAATATTTTAATTTATTAATAAAATTATATATAAATTTCACAATTTTATTAGTTATTATATATAATAAAAAAAATAAAACAAAAAATTATTAACAAAATATAATATTTTATATATAACAATTAAAAATAATATAATACAAATAAAATTTATTAATAAAATATAATAAAATATAAAAATATAAATTTTTTTCTTTATATAAAATTTTTAAATTTAATTTAACAAAGTTATTCTATTTACATATAAAATTAATAATTTTTTATAATAAGAACATATAAAAAATTATTAATTTATATACAATTAGAACAATTTTATCAAATAAAATCTAAAAATCTAAAAAATATATATTAAAATATAATAACTAATAAAATTATAAATTATATATAAAAATTTATTAATAAATATAATAAAATTAAAATTTTTGTTTTATATAAAATTTTCAATTTTATTGATAAAATTTTTTTATTTTATATTAAAAAAATTATAAATTATAATTTAACATATATTTTTTGGATTTTTTAGATTTTTTGACAAAGTTATTCTAATTGCAAAATTATTGCAAAAATTTTTTATAATTAATTTTATATTTTAATTATAAAAATTTTTGCAATAATTTGCAATTAGAATAACTTTTTAAAAAATCCAAAAAAATTATATAATAAATTATAACTTATAATTTTTGTTTAATATAAAAATAAAAAATATTTATTAATAAATTACAAACTTCTATATAAAACAAAAATTTTAATTTTATTAATAAAATTACATATATAATTCTATAATTTTATTTTTAATATAATCAAATTTTTATCTAATTCAATAATTAATAGTGTATTAATTAAAAAATATTACAAGTCCAAAGATAATTAATATAATTTGATTAATTAGTTTTTATATAATACTTATTATTTTAATTAATCAATCAAAATCAAAAAGTTTTAAAGTTATATAATAATAGATATTATTACATATTTTTCACTAATTGAGTAATTAGCAAATAAATATGAATAAGAGTTAGAAGAGATAATTAAATAAATATGAGAAGAATATAAAAATTCTAAGTTTTATATTAATTTCTATTGAAATTGTTATAGTTTGAAAGGGGAAAAAGATAAAGTAATAGTGTTTTAATTAGATATAGTGCAATTTCTGGATATATTTTTGATAAATATTCAATTTTTTAGTTTATTAATATGGATCGTATTTACCTTCTGCAAAAGAAAATTTAATAATTATCAATAAAATTTATATTGAAGCTAGAAGTATTGGCTATGGACTAAGTTTTAAAATTTGATTATTAATTAGAAAAATTAGAAAGTAAGAGAAAATTTGTAACTTTTTGGTAAAACTAGGGATAGTTTTTTTTGCAGCTTTTTTTACTACTCTAAATAACTGTACTAACTAATTAATTTACAAATTATTTAATTAAAGTAACTAATAAATTAACTAATTAATTAAATATCAAAAGTAACGAAGACTCTTTCACTTTATTTTTCTCACAAAAAAGAAATTATAATGTTTTTAGTTGAGAAAATTCCAAATATTTAATTACAAAAATATCAAAAGACTAGTCTATAACAAAATATCAATTCAATAATTCAATATCAACATTTTGATCAGCTCAATACAGTCTCAAAGCTACTTGTTTACAAGATTTGAAGTGTACTTTTGAGAGGAGAATGTGAATTGTTTAGTGTTAAAGGTATTTGTTTTATTATGTTATTTATTCTCAAGTTCCAACATGTTGAGTTAGAGCTCAACTACAACTCATATTTATACATTTTCTTTAAAATACAAATATAATATTGAAAACAAGAAAAAGATATAAAAGATAATTATACTAATTAAAAATAGAATTCCAATTTACTAAATATAGAAAGTAGAGAAATAAAGGAGAAAAAGTATAAATAGAAAGTATAAAAGTATAAAATAGAAAAAGTATAAAAAATATAAGAACACGAAGTAGAAAAAGTATAAAAAATATAAAAATATAGGAGTACAAGATAGAAAAAATATAAAAAGTATAGAAGTACAAAGTAGAAAAATAAAAATATATGAATACTATTATTAATAATATATAAAAAAATTGTGAAATGTTCTAAGTTCTTTACATGATTTTCATAATTTCATGAAATATTACAAATTATGAAATTAACGAATTTTATAATATAATTGTAATAATATTATGAAAATTGCTCTTTTCACGTTAGACAATATCTTTAACACATAGAATGATATAACCTGCAATGAACTCTGCATGCTTTTTGCAAAGTTCAGTAGGATATATATGATGAGTAGATGAGAGTCATTTACTAAAAAATAATTTAAAATAATTTGAGATAAAATAAAGCAAAATTAATTAAACTTTGAAAAATTGGATAACTAATAATAAACTTTAAAAATGGATATAGATTCTCATTGCTGACTGATTAACTAGATTTAAGAGAATCTTCTCATTACTATCCATTATGGAATGTAGTTTTCCTAAACTGCATAGTTGGTATTACTATGTGATTCTGACAATTTGCAAATATAAAGTCTTGAATAATCTCTTAATGAAAACGTACAAAACACTTTACAAGTCATATGTGAAAAATCTGTACTGGTCATTAAATAGAAAAAATACAGTTTAGCAGATAGTAAATGCAGTAAGTCAAGTTAGTCAATTGTGATTAATTGTTATAAATTCTAAATTATATTTACAAGTAAAGCACAAAAAATTGGCTCTGATAATAAGCAAGATAGTTTATTGTAAAACTACAGAATTTGACAAGATATTATGAGAATTATCTTTGGATATCATCAAAGCTAAAGATGGCGCAGCAAGTATGTAACGCTTATTTGTCACCCGTTGCAACACGTTGCAACTCCAAAATTTTATAAGCCACAACTAGTTGCAACTAGGTGATGCTTTATTTGTCACCACGTTGCAACAGTTGCCGCGTCATCTTTAATCAAAGCAAAAGTGATTTTGTTGAAGAATTTGGAAAGTTCACCGTATTCAAACTTCATTAAAGGATTATCATATATAATTAATGCATTAGATATATTTTTTAATACATTATCACAAGAATCTGAAAGTGAAGATTTTTATATAAAAGTTTATAACATAATTCATTTGGAAAATGGTAAAATTCTGAGAACATCTAAAAGTTTTTATGATAAAGAGTGGTTTAGTAATGTTGCAATAACTTCAGTTGAAGATTAAAGTCATTATAGATCAGATGAAAATATTTGATACAGAAAGGTAAATATAACTTTTGAAGAATAGTAAAATGTAATTTTAAATTTAGCAATTTTGAATGAATTAATCTTTGCATTTTCTTTCAAAAGATACTGCTCTTTCTATAGTTTTTTTGAGGATTGGCAAAGGACTTATATAACCTTGTTATAGTTTATTGGTATAATATTGTGCCAAATGAACCAAAAAAGTACAGTTATCCTTATCTATATTATACCAAAGAGTATAATATAATTTCAATAGAATCTATAGATCAAGAAGTACATATTGTGCTGAGATTTGACAAAAAAAATCATTTTTTGTTAAATAAATATATATTTTGAAAAACTAATAGACAAAGAATTTTAAAATAAAATTTGCACCTGTAGTAAACTTCAAAGAAAAAAATAAATGATAATGCATATAATTGATCTATTTATTATTTATTTATTTAATATATGTCCAAAAACTGTAATAATCATTACAGTTTCTTTGGATTATACCACTCTAAAATTTCTATTTTTGGAGTTTTGCACAGATTTTGGATCAGTGTAACCAAAAAATTAGCGATAATTAGTATATTTACTGATTATTGCTAATCTGATATCTATCAAATTTACTGATGTATATTGTGCCAAGCAAATTACTGCTATTGGATTATTGAGCTTTATATTATATTATGCTAAACAAATTGCTGTATTGAAATTATTGAAATTGGATTTTAAGTATTTGAATTTTTGTTATTTGAATTTTTGATTGTTAATGAATATTTCTCACTCATGAGAAGAACAAAGTGAAAAAGTCTTTTTATTGTTATTACTAATTATATTATCTTTGCTCTGGAAAGCTTTATGCAAGTACAGAGAATTAGCATCTTAAACCTTCTTTATTATTTATTCCTTTAACAATTTATACTTTCTCTCTCTTCTTTTTGATCTTTACTCTTCCACAACTCTTCCATACTTTTATCATATCTTTGAATTATTGCAATTTCCATAGAAATTGGTATAGAACTTAGATACCCCTCTTTTCTTTAGTTTTAGTTTATTTGTTTAATTCCCTTTCCTAACCCAGGTTGAAGTTTGTAAGCTAATTTAACAATTAGTGAACAAACTTGTAACAATATCTTGTAAAGATTTGCTTAAATTGCAATTGAATTATCAATTAAATTTTATTAAATTATAAGTTAATTCTATTATTTGTAACAAAATCTAATTCATCAAACAAATCATTCACTAACTTCAATGATACTATTCCGTTCATTTACGAATCGAAAGGCATGTATTCTTTAGTATCAACGCGCAATAATTCAATATGAACGTAAAATTATCCATTTTATCTTGAATAAAATCATAAATCGTACTTGAAGGAATTTGTTTCATAAAAAACTAACAAAATCATGTATAACATGCTGTTACAACGCTTTAACTTATCGATATTCTTGTTTCATAAAAATAGGAACGGGTTAAGTGTAACGGCGACTTTTGTACAGAATTTTATTTCTTATCCTGTTTTATAACTACGTACGTACAGTTCGGGATGTTAAATGTTAAACTGAATAAACCAGAGGCCGAACTATTTTAACTGAAGTTTTAAAACATGATCATTTTTTATGCAACTTATTATTTTAAATTAGTGTAAATTGCATAGCGATAGTGATTGTGATTGTAATAAGGGTGAAGATATTAGTGGTGTTATTGGAATATTAGTGATTAATGGGTTTGGCGATGAAGTATTAATTGAATCATTATTTGTTGCATGTATCGTTATATATCATTATTTTAAGCGAAGAAAAATTCATTTTCATTTCCAAATATAAAATGATCATAATTCAAAGATGGCGACCCGTCGATTTGCATTGCTTCTTGAGGTAAATTGGTTGTCAAAATTGACCACTTGAATGTTTTTTCTCATCATTTTGTGTTCCGATTTCATTTCGAAAACACCAACCAAGATTACTTTGTCCGCCTGCATCGCTGTCCTCTGCTGACCAATGATACCTGACGAAACCTTTGACGAGTGGCGAAACCTGTGACGAAACCTTCTGACCAATCAAAATAATATCTTAAATCACATGATAAATGATAAAACCTGTGACAAAACCTTCTGACCAATCAAAATAATAGCTACAATCACATGAACAAATCCTATTCCAAGAGAATGTTACATGTATATGTATATTAGAAATTTAGTACATGTGTTTGATTGGCTGAGGACCATAAACGATCAAAATTATTATGAAATGTGTATAATTTTAAATACGTATATACCTCTGGTAAAAATTATGCAAAAAATAAACCGATAGATCGAAAAAGCTTGACTTGACCTATTGTTTTTATGGTTTAGTTTGCTAAAATTGTCATTCGTCAGACGATTCATCATTCGCCACTTATGTTTCCAAAGTGGCGAAAGGTTTCGTGAAAATCAATACATGTATGCATTTTCGCATTCGTTCATTTCCAAAAATGGTCATCATCGTCAGGCATCAGCTAGTATTTTATTGGTTAGAAGGTTTCGCCATTCGTCACCAAATGGTCACGTATCATTCCTTCAAATACTACTCGAATGCTTTTCTCTCGTCTTTTTGTGTTCCGATTCCATTTTGATAACAATAACCAAGATTATATTGTTCGGTCGCGCTTCCGCCCTCGGTTGACTTCAAATACCACTTGAATGCTTTTCTCTCGTCTTTTTGTGTTCCGATTCCATTTTGATAATAAAAACTATTATATTATTCGGTCGCACTTCCGCCCTCGGTTGACTTCAAATACCACTCGAATGCTTTTCTCTCGTCTTTTTGTGTTCCAATTCCATTTTGATAACAATAACCAAGATTCCTTTGTCCGCCCGCACTTCCGCCTTCTGCTGATTTCAAATGCCGCTCGAATGCTTTTCTCTCGTCTTGTGTTCCGATTCCATTTTGATAACTGCAACCAAGATTATATTGTAAAGTCACGCTTCCGTCCTCTGTTGACTTCAAATACCACTCGAATGCTTTTCTCTCGTCTTTTTGTGTTCCGATTCCATTTTGATAACAATAACCAAGATTCCTTTGTCCGCCCGCATTTCCTTTCTCTGCTGATTTCAAATACCATTCGAATGCTTTTCTCTCGTCTTTTTGTGTTCCGATTCCATTTTGATAACAATAACCAAGATTATATTGTTCAGTCGCACTTCCGCCCTCTGTTGACTTCAAATACCACTCGAATGCTTTTATCTCGTCTTTTTGTGTTCCGATTCCATTTTGATAACAATAACCAAGATACCTTTGTCCGCCCGCGCTTCCGCCCTCTGCTGATTTCAAATACCACTCGAATGCTTTTCTCTCGTCTTTTTGTGTTCCGATTCCATTTTGATAGCAACAACCAAGATTATATTGGCCGATCGCACTTCCGTCCTCTGTTGACTTCAAATACCACTCGAATGCTTTTCTCTCGTCTTTTTGTGTTCCGATTCCATTGTGATAACAAAAACCAAGATTACTTTGTCCGGCCGCATTTCCGCCCTCTGCTGATTTCAAATACCACTCGAATGCTTTTCTCTCGTCTTTTTGTGTTCCGATTCTATTTTGATAACAACAACCAAGATTATATTGTCCGCCCACATTTCCGCCCTCTGCTGATTTCAAATACCACTCGAATGCTTTTCTCTCGTCTTTTTGTGTTCCGATTCCATTTTGATAACAACAACCAAGATTATATTGTCCGGTCGCACTTCCGCCCTCTGCTGATTTCAAATACCACTCGAATGCTTTTCTCTCGTCTTTTTGTGTCCTGGTTCCATTTTGATAACAACCAAGATTATATTGTCCGATCATACTTCCGCCTTCTGCTGATTTCAAATACCACTCGAATGTTTTTCTCTCGTCTTGTGTTCCGATTCCATTTTGATAACACCAACCAAGATTATATTGTTTGGTCGCGCTTCCGCCCTCTGTTGACTTCAAATGCCACTCGAGTGCTTTTCTCTCGTCTTTTTGTGTTCCGATTCCATTTTGATAACAATAACCAAGATTATTTTGTCCGTACGCATTTCCTTTCTCTGCTGATTTCAAATACCACTCGAATGCTTTTCTCTCGTCTTTTTGTGTTCCGATTCCATTTTCATAACAAACACCAAGATTATGTTGTCCACCCGCACTTCCGCCCTCTGCTGATTTCAAATACCATTCGAATGCTTTTCTCTCGTCTTTTTGTGTTCCGATTCCATTGTAATAACACCAACCAAGCTTACATTGTCCGGTCGCATTTCCTTTCTCTGCTGATTTCAAATACCACTCGAATGCTTTTCTCTCGTTTTTTTGTGTTCCGATTCCATTTTGATAACACCAACCAAGATTATGTTGTCCGCACGCATTTTCGCCCTCTGCTGACTTCAAATACCACTCGAATGCTTTTTTCCCGTCTTTTTGTGTTCCGATTCCTTCATCATAACACGTTCCAATAAAATATTGCGCCATAGCATGCTGGTTAATTGCCAACTCTTCAAAAATTTTTATTGCAAACTCTAAATTTTTATTTATTATACAACCAGTATAATAAAAAAATCCTAAAAGTAATTTATATTGAGGTTTGCGTAAAAAAGTAAAAAAAGTACAAGTATCGAAGGGATCTTGTGTACTCTGTTGATAATATAATTGTAGCGATCTGCCAATAGTCAAGACATCTCTTTCGTAGTCAAGATGTTTATTTAACAAGTTCAGTAAATCGCTAACAATAAACTCAGGAGTTAAAAGTTTTTCATGATAAGATGCTAAATTTTCAGTGTCTTCTTCCCATAATGAATCTGACAATTGTTCTGTAGATACTGGCGACGATACTTCGGAACTCCAATTAGATGATTCTTTAGAGGCTGTTGATGAAGATTCTGGCGATGACCAAACTATTTCTTTTAAGTCCTGATTTACTTTATATATAGTTGGGCGATTTGCTGGTATATTGTCCCAACATTTTTGATAGAGGTTGACATATTTAGAAGGAGTTCCAAATATTGTCATTTCTTTCTCAAGAACATTTTTATGAGCATATCCATATTTATTGGATGGAGGACGACCGCTAGAAATCATCCATAATAGAACTCCAATGCTGAAAATATCCGATATATGGTCTCGTCGAAAATTAGCAAGATCTAGTAAAAACGCCGGATCAACATAGCTTACGATTCCATAATCCGTTCTCGAATTGAAGTCATCATTTGAGAGTTTTGAATAACCCAAGTCTGCGATTTTGATTTCTCCGTTATGAACAAGGACATTATTATGGTTCTTTTATATGAGCAAATTAATAAAAGATTAAATTATACTCAAAGTTGAAAGAAATGAATAAGATTCTTACCAAATCTCTATGAATAATGCCTTCATCATGTATACACTTCACGCCTTTCGTAAGTTGTCGGGCTAAAGACAACTTGTCAATTCCTTTCAACTTATTAAAATTTTTTGCCAGATAATTTCGTAGGGTTCCGCCATTAGCATAATTAAAAACCAACATGTATTTTTGAATACTGGGTTCTGGCAGAGTTGAATTGAAGTTCATAACATTTATTCATAGATGCTATAAATATAATTAGATTAAGTCACGTTCTAAAATTTACCTTTAGTAATTCCATAAAAGTCAATAATGTTAGGATGATATTGAACTTGAAGAAGGAAGTTTAACTAATTATTACACACAGTTTATTAGATTTTATTGTTAGAAGTTTGATTATCAAGTATAAATTTACCTCCTTAATGAATTCTTTTTGTTTTCGTTCATAGTCTTCACTTTTCATATAAAGAACTTTTAAAGCCACTGTCAAGTCATCATTTAAAGTTGCTTTATATACTTCTCCAAAATGTCCATGTCCAATTACTTCTCTATCTTTAAAACTATTAAAATCAAAATATTTGACATAATTTTCTAATTTTCCAGTTTCTTTCCATGATACTAAGCAAGATGAAGACATCATGGTAGATTTAGTTGCTTCGATTGCGAAATGTTGATATTTATAGTTATGCAGCGGTAGTCTTAACGTTATTCTTATCGTTATCTCTTAAATTAATACATGTACATGTACTACACCACCGTGTGACCCTGTATAAATGATATCTGTTCTAATTGTAATTTTCTACGTATTTACATGTACATGTAAAACAAACACTTTATTTCACTCTGTTGTGCAGGTCAATTAGTCACCACAATTGCTGCGCCACCGGACAAATTTTCAGTTGTACGTCAATACCAAGTCAGGTATAGATGGTCATTAAATTTTAGTGAAACTCAAAGGGGGGAGAAAAAAGGATTCTGACATATTTTTTCAAATATATAGTGTTAAAGTACCCTGGATCCAGTGCTTTATGATAGTTATCATTAGCAAATATACGACTATCAACTCAATAATCAGAATTTCTCCAGTCAAAAATATACGTAATATTATAGAGTAGTTAATGAACTATCAATTTACGTATTTTCTAAATTTTACAATCATAAGGAGGGATTTTGATAGAATTTAAAGCTGATTCACTTTTTGTAACAAAGTGACCTGCACTGTATTTCGGTATGATAATTTGTAATGGCTTATCGTTTACTGGTTTATAAAACAATGAAACTAAATAGCTAAACAATATTAAATAAAGCAACCATAAAAATACCTCTTTGATAACTTTTATTATGGCTATCTCTGTCTTGCGCCATGAAACTTTTCATGAATATATTCTTTAATGGTTTTAAGCAGATACAGCTACACACTAGTGAATAGTGAGTTGCTAAAAAGATAAATTTCGAGAGGATTTTTTATCAAATAAATTCTATTAATCTTATTTTATAGAACTTTGATTTCTGTTGCTTAATTTTCAATTACAGGGGGTTTGCTTCAAAATAGCTTTTCATTATTTTACGTTCAAATGATACAGTATCGAAGCTATCGTAAATAAATTTCACTGGTAATAACTCGATTTATTTGCACTCTCATTTACGTTTCTTTGAAGTATAAATCAGTGAACTATCGAAGATAAGCTCAATATAGCAAACCAGCTATCGCTATGAATTTGACTGCATTTGTTTGTTTCATAAAACACATCGCAAAAAAATTTACGGTGTTTTTGGCGACGTACAATTTCATGATTGCACACTTGCATTCTGTAAAATTTAAAATATCGATATTGTCACGAATCAGATTACACTCAATACCAGTTGTTAAACTTCCTATTACATGTACATGTATCTTTATCGAATGTCATACAAAATTCAAATTTAGAATTAGCATTAAAGTTGGTGTAAGTGAATCTTATTTTTGTGTGATCTAACAAACTTTGATTTTGATTTGATTTAGTACGCATGGAAATACATGTATTTGTTTGTAAAAGTACATGTAATATGTATTACATTTATGTTCGTCTGCAAAATTATTGTCACCTTACCATTTTATCCGTGCATGTATAACAATAAATACATGTACATGTGCAATTTACCTTCAATATTTCATAAGGTTTATCGCTTTTTACAATACTAGTAACTAAGTGCTATTAAATTCATGCTCTTTTCTTTATCATTATAATTTAAAAATAAATAAAAAATATATACATGTATTCAGTTAATACTTTAGAGTCATTGATATTTGTCATTTTTAGAATTAAATAATGTCGAAATTTGATGATAATTACAAGAGGAACGATCAACTATCAGAATTTCTAACGCTAATATTTTTTAAAAAAATAAAAGAAACAATAATATTAGAATAGCGATAATGTGATAAAAAGAATTTTTGAGTTTTGCTAATAAAAAAAGTAAAATCAACCAGTTTGAATAATTTTTTGAAAATTGAATCCATTTTTTAGCCTTTTGATACCATTTTAAAAGTATGTCGACTCAACTGTACACTTTAAAGCTTGCATACAAGTAGCTTTGAATCGTATTGAGTTTATCAAAATATTGTTATCGAATTATTGAATAAGTATTTTGTTATTGACTAGTCATTTGATATTTTTTTTATAATCGAATTATTGGAATTTCTCACTTGTTAAAGACATAATATTCCTTGCTTGTGAGAAGAATAAAGAAAAAATTCTGGTAATACTAATTATAATTTTCAGCTCTGGAACATTTAACACTAGTACAGAGAATTAAAATGTCATTTACTTAGAATTAGAACATCACCTATCTTTATTGTACATGTACATGTACAAGTACAAGTACATCTATGTACATCCTGCCAAATTTGGTTAATGTACTCATCAATACTTACAGTGGCAATCAGAAATAATGCAACGACGTCAAAATTTACTAATTAAACATAGTAAAATGCGTATTTTTCTCTTT